GGATTTGAGTATGGTTTAAAGCACTCGAAATCATACTCAAGTCCCTGCCATTAGGGTCGTATTTCCAGTGCTTGAAATCATACTCACATCCTGACTTGAGCATTGAGTAGAGTTCTGGAAAACGACCCTTAAAGTCCTTTGTTATATTACACTAAAAGTCCTCTAATCAACCAAATTATAAAGCATTATTTTAAAATTATAATATATATAGGAAAACTTGAATTCATTCAAAAATTTTATTTTTTTATGTTTCAGTTTAAAAAAAAAATTGAAAAGCAATCAGACTACATTCATAGTTTTGAGTAACTAGGACACATTTAAAGCAAGTCATGTTGACATTTTTATTACCAAAATTTGTAGAAGTGTGTATGTGTCACCAGGTAAACATGACTGTTATCATATTAGTCTTCTTAAGCTAAACAAATAGGCTCTATTTATTGAAATTGATAACGTTGACTGATTTAATCATTTAGATTATATTTCAGAATGTGGTAGTAAAATATTGGTTTTTATTGTTTCTTCATTTAAAAACTATTTTTATTTCTCTCTATTTACTTAACTAACCTTTGTTAGCTGTTCCTTTGGTTAAATTTATTGATCAACTTTCTAAAGCTATTCATATGTTACATGTCTACTTTTTCCGTATCTAGACCCACTGATAATATAAGCCTTAAAATTTACCTATTTCTTATGCAATCACAACAAATTAACTACAAACATAGCCACCTACAGCAGTTGCATGAAAACAAGTAGTTTCTTTCTCTTATCTACAGATTAAAATCACAAATGCCAATCAAAAGTATGACTACTTACATTTGTGATAAGGTAATTAGTCAATTAGTCATTTCCACACAAATAAGACTAGGCAGTGATGTTATCGGCTTATCGCATTCTTTATAACCCACATTTAACCAACTGTGAGATAACAATTGTTGCAGAACGGAACTTTTTGTATATGATAACCATCAAACTATGACATAATACCAAATATCTAAATGACAACACCTTTAAGTTTGTCATTCAAATATGCAAATTAATAAAGTATATTTCTGGTCATGTTTCATTCAGGATAATTTCTTTCTCAAATACTTTTTCAAAAGTTTGGAAATAGCATTTGAAATACTCTAAATATTTTGTTGGCATAAGCATGTAGCAGCAGTATATCCGCATCACGTGAGATAGTCACGAAATAAAAAAATTACCTATGTACATAACAATGGTCCATACGAGCACAACGCGCCGCCCGACCGCGCCATCGATGTTCCAGAACCAGAAAGGGATAAATGTCGCATAGAATATCTCATCGCCCAGCGCTGTTCCTATCACGAACAGATAATACCAGAACTTGTTCTCTATGTGACACTCCACTTCGTCTACCTCCGCCGACGTATCCGTATCATACGACGACGAGCTGCTGGAAGTATTGCTAGGTATCCTCTTATGCGTTAAGTCAAAGTCTTCTTTCTCTCTTTCAAGTCTCTCCGAATGTACGACTTCACATTCATTATCACGAACACTCCTTTTGTTGTAAATAACACCGAAAAAATTTTGCACTTTAACAACTAGTAACGGATCTTTTAAATACTCAATTATATTTTCCCACATTTTTGTTATTGTGAACCGGTCTAACTGAAGCACAGAACAGCCGAAGTATAATAAAATTTATTATCTAATCTAAATGATTCAAGAATGTGGTAAAATAAACGTTCAGATTTTTTTAGCAAAGCAAGACTGACTGACGTTTACTATGTTGCCAGTTTTCGTAGAAATAAAAATAGTGTTGTCTGACTACCGTTGGGTAATTTTCCGAAAAATTTCAAAAAGTGAAAGTTTTCCGGAAATTTTCCCGAAAAATTGGAAACATATAATTTAGAAGGCTCATATTGTGTTTTACGTTTAGAAATATCTTTTGAAGTTTTATTTAGCGCGAAAAATAAAATGAAATTGTACAGCTAAAAGCCACGTAAGGAAAAAAGAGATTGAAAATGATTTCACAACAGCGACAAAACCTTCCAACAACCACATCACCATCATTTGTAGTTGGTGCATCGTTTTCGTTCAGTAACTTCAACTTATGACTGGTGTCAACGACAAATGTGAAAAATTAAAGAAGAAATAATGGAAAAGTTGACACTGTTAAAAGTTGAAAATACTGAACGAAAACGAAGGAGCCATGTTGTGGAGCAGATATTGTTTTATTATGATTGTTTTTTTATTTGCCATTGTCCAATCATTTTAAATCTGGTTCTTTCTTAACTTTTTTTTAACTATAAAATTTTATTTTATAATTTACGCTATATAAAACTTGAAAAGATATTTCTAAATGTAAAACTTAAATTTTTCTGATTTCTCAGATGTTTTTAGAGATTTAGACTTAGTTTGATAGGTTGTAATTGTGTTTGAGAGGGTTCGAGGTTTCAGTCGTTTCTCTGTATTTTGTGCAATTTGGATAATTTGAGGATTGTTTTCGGTGTTAAAAATGTTACTTATTAATTTATGAACTGCAACCTACCAACAAATGTACGTTGAGTTCGCGCTAAAAAGTGTCCGCACCTATAGGGCGTTAAAATCGCATACAGAGCGTCAATCGCGCAACAGTCTTCGTTTGTTTAGACTGACAGCGCAGTTGTCACTCATGCATTATTATATAATAAAAATTTGTAAAAATAACTGGTGCAAATTGTAAAAACAGGATTTTGTATCATATTTTCACAAAATAAATATATGTATAGTGTTGTCATAGTTATCATTTAAAAGTGTTATTTTGTACAGTAGTATAGTATTAAATTCATATATAAATGAATCGTAAATATAAATTACAAAAGCAAACATAATAATCAAATAACTAACTGTCCTTTTTCTTCACATTGCATGCGCAAAATATGGAAAGAGACCCATTACGTCAATTTCAAAAAGATTACATATATAAACTTCATTTTCATCTTCATTGTCATTTTCAATTGTTTGAAACACAAGCGATTGAAATATTTAGAACAAAGAAACTATAGAGTTGCTTTGATTTTAATCTTAATTTTAACATGATTTTTTATAAGTCAGAAAATACATTTGCCCGAAATAACGTTAGCTCGAATTTTCATAATGTCAAATTAATTTTTTTTAGGAATATTACGAAACAAAAGCAAATTTGGCTTTGTGAAAAGCATCAAAATTACTTGAAAACCCAATTGTTTTATTATAAATCGGTTTTATTAAATAAAATAAAATAAAATTATATATGGGAACATTTTAGAAAGTGCACGCCTATTTTTATATTTGTAATATTGGTATGTATGTATCTCTCTACTTTTTATTATTTCTTTAAGTGAATTTATACAAAATTCGACATAATAATATATACAAATAATTAATTAACATTTAGAATAAAGGCTGCTCCATTACTCTTATATTCAAGTAATTTTCAGTCGAAGCTAAATGTGGTGCATTTTGTTAAGTTTCCAGTAGAAGCTGAATATGGTATTTTTGGGCCCTTAAATTGTTGCAAGCAAAATTAGGAGTATTGCAATGACGTTACAATTTAAATTAAATGTTTTTATTCTTTTTATATATCGTTACATGTCACTACGTTTGTATAGATTAACTTCGGATGCTTTTTCGTGGTTTTTGTATTAGAGTTGGTAGGTCAATGGCCACAACGAAAATACTATTACTAAATATGGGGTTTTTCAACAAGAACTTGTTGGTGGCTATATGACTTGCGCCGTTGGCATTGGGCCGTTTTTTTTCGAAAATTCGACTGGAAATCCGATTACGGTCAATGGATTACGCTATCGAGAGATGTTAACTACTCAACTTTGGCCTATTATTGATGATATGGATATCACTAACATATGGTTTCAACAAGACGATGCCACAAGTCACACAGTCATCGAAACAATTAATTTATTGCAAACAAAATTTCGCAATCACATAATTTCACGAAGTTCAGCTGCATTTTGGAAAATCAATATTTTCCGGACGCTATTTCCAAAATATTTCCTTTAATTTTCGATATTTAATGTTGACACCTGTCAAAAATAGGAGTTACGAAACGAAAACGATGGAGACATTATAAAAGTTGTTTTTGCTGTTCATCAAATCATTTAAAATCTCGTTTTTCACTATGTGTATACAAATTTATTTTACAATTCACGTTAAATAAAACTTCATAAGATATTTCTAAACGTAGAACATAATATGAGCCTTCGAAATTATATTTTAGCAATTTTCGGGAATATTTCCGGAAAAAATTCTGCTATTTGAAATTTTTCGGAAAATTACCCAACAGACTTAACGTCTCTACTCTTGCCCCAGCCTGTCAAATGTCAACGTCACAAACTATGTCAACGTCGAAATAAAATGATGTTTGGAAGGTTATTTCTATTTCACTGTTTACGACTTTTTATTTAGAATTAATTGATAATTGATTTGCTGTGAATTTAATGTTCAATAATAGTGCAAGCTAGCTGAATATTGAGAAAGCTGTATTATGTTTGTGATTTTAAATTGAAGTCGGAAAAATCAACTGTTGGGTACTTAGTCCTGCATTGAACGTAAGTTTATCAAACTTTTTGTAAACTAATCTCATTAAAAATGAATCTGTTTGAAATGTTAACATCACGGTCTTTCAATGAAATACGCTTGTAGAATTTAACACAGACTGTGTTTAAAATGTAATAAGTTGTTTTTCACTTGTTTACAGGTTTATTAAATTGACATACGTATTCCTGTTTGTTTCTTTATTGTTCGTTTACAAGTAACCTATTGTTGTCTGCGGAATTCTGTGGTTTCACCGCCGCTAATGAAACTTCAAAGTACCTTTGTGTAGTTCTCTCTCTTATCAGAAAACTAATTTTTCTATGTTAGTTGTGTTTTTTGAGATACGACATATTTGATAATCTTTTTAAAATAGTTCATTGAAGTAGGTTTTATTATTATCACATTTTTTTCAGCCCAGCAAAGAGCCAATGTGTAAGAAATAATTTTAATTTTGTTGTGTTGTGTTATTCTATTTTATTCTAAAATCTTGTTTAAATAAGAGTATATTTTTAAACATACTCAGTGTACTAATCAAACACTTATACCCTACTAATATTCTTGTAAATTTTTCATATGTATGTTCTAACATCGAACTTATGCACTGCAAATATTCAAAACATTGATAACATTTATGATGCACATGCACTTTTTACTTTAATTGCCTGATTTCATAGTGGAAATTAGGCATAGTATATGGCCAGAGATTAAGGAGAATATTCGCGAATTGAAGCCAATTTATCGGAAACTATGGAGCAATTACCAATTGATGTAAATATACCCACAACACTGACCTATTTATGCCAAGTCAGAATAAAAAGTAGAAAAACGGGTACCACACAAATAACCTACACTACAATGGGCAACATACATTGTTCAAGCGGGCAATATCCTTATGAATCTACAATGAGATGTTACGTTATGTTAATTTTTTTGTACTTTATTGAAAATATTCTACTCTAGTAGTCACCCAAAAACCACACTAATTTGAAAACGATTCCATTAAATCACATGAAATTTGGTATTTAACTAGTAAGGCTGGTTATGTAGTTACAATGAACCATTTTTGTGTTTATTCTTAGATTAAGCCATTGTTTTAGAACTTTTGGTGATTTTTTATTTGTTTATAATATATTAAATTTTCTACAAATCCCTGAGGAAAAACACAGGATCAAAATTTGCTTAAGAGTTAAACATACAGAGAGCGGGCGCGGGATAAGTGCACGCGCTGCGTATGTTGTCGTCTATTCAAATACACGGAATCAGACCCGTCGCGGTCCCGACTCGTCGTGTTTCACGTTTTATGTTCTGAAAAACGACTAAACATGCAGTGGTGCAACTATTTGCAATGTCTGTAGAAATTAACATCACTTGTACTAAATCAATAATAACTAAAATTGGCAATTTCTACCATAATCATTATCTGAAGAAATTTAACTTTATTTCTAAAAAATACATTATTGCAATTTGCAATGCAATTTTATCTTTCTATTCTCATGTAATGTATGAATAGTATGTGTGAGTGTAAGGGCGCATTTATTCGACGCGAATTTCATCGCGTTCATCCCGCGCGGCCGCCGTGCGATCACCGCGTGGAGACCGCGTTGCCGCCGCGCAGCGACCGCCTGAATGTGCCATGGAAAAATACGCTCTATTTACTTAGCATTTACGCTTCAACTTAAATGAGTGTCCCGGACACGCGGGCGAGACTAGCTTGAATTTGGTCTACGCGTCCGCCGCGCGGTGTTGTATAACTCATAGGAATTTAAATATTGTTGAGTTTATGCAGGCTAAACTCCAGAATGGCTGAACCAATTCGAATGTGGTTTTCGGTGATGTATTAAGATAAGCTAGTTTCTTTCATTTAAATCGATTGACAAATAAAAGAGATACGTGAATTTTAAAGTGTTGTGAGTTTTGAAGTTAGCATCGTATCTAACACGCGAAGCCGTAGCGTGTCATATTATATGTATAATATTCTTACAATGCATATCTGTCGGCACAAACAAGCGGCATTGATAAGGCTTCCCGGCTTGCAGTGTCCGCGAGATCGCCGAGCTGCGTGCGCGCCGCTTTCCATCGTGTTATTGTTAATAATAGTGCAGTAATTGCCTAAGGCGGATTTGGTCAATGAATATTGTGTGTACAATGAATACACTGACATATATTTTGTTTCAGTGTTATGCATTGTGTGAAAAAAATGTGGATAAGTGTAATTCGTGTGCTAAGACATCCCCGATTTAGTTGATTGTTTAGTGAAATACGTCTGTACCAAATGTTAGTGACTATTGTAAACAGATTACAATTTTGATCGACCTTTACGCTTCCGGTCCTTAGTCGGTTTAAAGCCATCACTGTTTGTTATTCGATGCCTTATCCTTGATGTAACTAGGTATGCAACTATGGTTAACTCTACCGCAATTCACGTAACAGTGTAGTATAGTATTTTCACCGTGTTGACAAATGTCATCCGATTAAAAACCGTTAAGTACAATTACGCTTGTGAATGGTATGTACCTACATACACGCAACAGGTAACACAAAGATACAACCGTTCGTTCTGAAGCCACTAGAAGACGCTTAGCTTGTTATATCTGGAATGCCTACAACAGTTCAAAGTATCTACAAACTTTTGTGCTACAAAAAAAACCAAAAAAAACTACATTGACCCTTAGATGTAGAATATATAAAAGAATCGCTGTGTAATGTTTATCAAATCGTATTAGAGTAGACTTCCTATCATTTCTTATTAACACTAGGAAGCGATGTGGATGTCCATAAATTCCATAATAACATGTTTGCGTGGTAAGTATACAACAACATTATCGGCCAATCGAGTGGCCAAGTGCTGATTGTTATTGCCTCTGGGTTATAATGTACTTCGCAATTATCTTACATTGAGGCTTTCTATCAGTTAGTTGATGGATTTATCTAGTAATGTTTGTTCGAACTACTCGAATTAATTGCATAATTTGTCTGAAAAGATATTTAACTGATGTCCACTATACACTTTTGTTCGAATATCGACTCTGGAGCAATGTAACAAGCTCCGTCAATATTTAGCTTAATAAACCGCGCCATTCGTACAATAGGTGAATATTAAGGAGCAACACCTTTCGTTAACTGTGAAAGAAATCGTTGTGATGAACCTGCGTGGAAAAAGTTCACAACACTTTGAAAATGTGTGACGTCCCCAACCCGCATTGGGTTTAAGGGTTATAGCTAAAACCCTATCCTCAGAAAACCCGTGCACCGGGTGACGACCTTAGTAAAAATTGTCAACGACTATGTCGCGATTTAGTATTAGTTTTGTAATATCAAGCATTAAGAAACTTAGTCTGTTATGATACTTAAGAGTAGGGAACTAACAGGGCAGTACAGGCGTCCCAAATGAAGGGAGATATCAGGCGTCTGTTGGTAGTGCACTGGTTGGTCGGCTCTACAGTTTATTATTTACAGTTTATTTTTGTATTATAAGTTTATTAATGCTTGATATTACAAAACTAAATACTAAATCGCGACAAGAAGTTTCGTCATATAGTTACAATTGTCAATTCGTACGTAGTAGTATACCCGGGCCTATCATAAATGAGAGGAGAACAGAATTGGATTACTTACTACACTGTTTATAAAAACTATTTGTTTTGACTTATGTGTCCTGTTTGTAGTAACAACAAATATAATAATATATATGACGAGATAATAGAACAAAATAACTATTGATTAGAGTAATGGATTCATTCATCTCCATTATCACTGGACATATTCCGAAATTATCAGGTTTTGTTTAAAAAATGTGCTCTATTTTGAAGTTATAAGAGAATATTTAGCTACGAATCGAGAAGATGCCGTAGTCTATTCTGAAATGAGTCGTAATACGACTTCGCAATGGTTCAGTTGCTAGTTAATTTGAGGAAGAAGCAGTATTAATAGAAAGATTGTAATTGGCTAATCGTTGTCGTAGGTCGAGCTGTAAATATGGCGGAAGAGGACACGCTCAAGATATACTGGGACCATTTCTTTAAGGCCGAAACTGGCACTTACGAGGTGACTAATCTATTGTTGTCTGTCTGTTAACTAACTTAAGTCTTTACCCATTCCATTACCCATATTTTCTTAACCCATTTGTTAAGTTTACATGACGCTGCACGTGAATTATCGTGAAATGCATACCTATCGTCATGTTTTGTCTTTATTATGTTACTATTGAAATGATGTTTTGTAGAAATCCACCTGGCTGGATTTGTTCCTAGCGGAGTTTTTGATCCGCGTTAATGAGGGGGCCAATCCTAAGGAGTTGATCAAGTTTTGGTAAGTACCTATATTTACGTTTATTACATGTTTATGGGTATCTGTATTGACGAGCATTTGTATGAAAAGTGTATTATTGTTGGACGGTTCGCCTTAAGACTGCGCCGAGGCAGCGATACGTAATGCGACATAATTGCGTTTTTTAATCCCTTGCTAATGTATCGTTATTACTGAAGCTTTAGTTATGAAATTAATGTACAAGAGATTCAAGGATTCACTCTATAAATCATACTCCTTAGAAACACGATTACTTGTAGTTTCCTCCGTAGAAAAAAATCCGAAGTTATCTGTAAAAAACAAAATAAGTATTTAGTACAGCGTAAATAATAATAATAATAATAACGCACACACTCAACATAGCCCCGCACTAGGGAAACCCTGTGTCGCGGGTGCCATGGACACACACATAGACAACCAACCAACAAATGACACCCAAACTCACGAGAGAAATAATTGTAGGCCATACTACTATTAATCTCCCGGCCCGGGAATCGAACCTGGGACCTCTGCGTGGCAGCCGGACTGCCTGGTGGTAACCGTTTGGCCACGGAGGCAGTTAAATAAATACTTCTCGGAAGGTCATCAGTTTTTGAATAATAACAAAACTACATCTTTTCTATAAAGTTTACTCCGTAGATTTTCGAAATGTGTATTTGTTTTGATAATACGAAGGAAATACCTAAATTCGCACGCGGTCCGCCCATACTAGCCAGAGCCGCCACGCTTTCCCCTGTCCTGGTTCGGCCGTCATACCGACTCATCCGACGAACACAATCCGATGTGATTATTTAGCGAAAAGAGAATAAGTATGTTACGAGAACAATTTCGTTATTCAGATTAAGGCCTATGTAAAGATGTTTTAAGAATTTGTGTATCTTATTTCATTTCGGAAATATAAAATCGAACAATGGTCGATCTGATATCCGCAGCGGAAGAAGAACGAACGAAATGCACTATGTCCTGAGAACAAGTACTCTTGCACATTCATCCTTGTTCTACGGTTGAGTCGATAAGTGCAGGTTCTTTCGTTTGAGTTTATGGGAGGGCATAGAATACCCAAATTCAATTAGCGCCAGAAGCTCGGTGCCACTAAATCATTGCTTTCTTTTGGAATACGCCAATAACGAAGTAGATTTCAATCATAGGAAATGAAACTATTTTTTCGGATCTAATCGCGTATATTTGTTTTTTTTTTTCAAACAAAACAACCTTTCATAGACGCGACTTGGATCCGAAAAAATAGTTTCATTTCCTAGGTGTAACAATCACGAAAACTTTAGAACTCGATAGATTTCGACAATTTTCATAAGCTGACCAAAATCATTACTGCAACTATCATGAAAAAATCAATATCCGCCATTGTTACTCATCGTGCGTCGGCAGCCCCGTGAGCGGCGTGGTATCGCTTGTGGGGTGCGAGCTGCTCTGCGGCATCCACCGTGTGACGTCGTCGGTGTCCGCGTTGGCTGCGCCGCCGCTGCCCACGAGAGATGCGCAATGCTCCGCGAAGACGCCTGCGCCAGATCAGGTGTTTGCGTCTTCGCTCACCGAAGAAGAAGCTGATGATGGTAAACTAAGTTGTATGCACAATCGTCCGTTGTTAATATTATACGTGTTGCGAAATTATATTCCGATTTTCATAGACTATATTTAACGAAATCATAAAATACTCTTCGACAGTCTATATTAGCAAATGTTTAAAAATAAACTTATATAGTTTATATATTAATGCGGTTAGTGCAGATCTTCACTGACAATAAATTAATAGATGACTTAGGCTCGTTTCCACATGAACGCAAATTACCATACGTCATATTATGAACAAGGCGTATATGTCTCCGAGCCTATGTACATTATTCCTGTTCTTATCGGTATATACCTAAATGCCTTAGTCTAGTTCAAGTTCAGACTCAACAGGTCAATTGAAACGACTATTTTATGTTGAGTAACAGAAAAGAAAGAAGAGTCGCGTGCGCAGTCGACGAGTCTGTTTACGCAGTGCAATGCGCAGTCGAGTGCGGAGATACTGCGGCAGTACTTGCTAGGCGGAGTCGCCTGGCGCTGCCTGGAGCTGCTGCGCCTCTTGGGCGTCGAGGTTAGTTCCAGTTGACGCTGTTGGTAACCCAGTGGGAAAGCAGTTGCTTCTCTATCGAGAAGCCGATAGTTCGAATCCGTGTGCCATATACCTATAACTTTAATTTTAACTTACGTATATTTACTTGAAGGAAAACATCGTGATGCAACCTGCCCGTCGAAGAATGTTCACGAGCTATGGAAGCGTCGAAGTCCCCAGCCAGTTATAGGCCAGCGTAGTCTAATCTCCTTGGAATAGACCCGTGCCAAAATAAATTTAAAAAAAACACGTGGTGCGAGCTAAATATGAGTAAATTATATTTGATATGAAAAAATATATAAGTAATACTTTTACTGCGTACCTTATTTTTTAAATTTATTTTCTCATTTATTTTATACCCACACACTTAAAGTCCTGCACTGGGGAAACCCTGTGTCGCGGGTGTCATGGACACACATATAGACAACCACATATTACACCCAAGAAAAATAAATCTAGGCCATACAAATAATCCTCCCGGCCAGCTTGGGTATCGAACCTGGGATCCGAAAAAAGGCTGTCTTTCGAATTGAGCCACTTAATAATAGAGGGTGCGAGCGATATGAAGTGCTAGCAACAGAATTAAGTACATAAATCGATATATGGGGTTAAGGAGTACCACACTACTTATATATCCGAATCGCTTCAGCCGGTCAGAAAAAGCTTTATGTCCACGTGATAAGACCGAAAAAATGTGAAAGACCATCAATGAGACATGAAGGCGAACTGCCTTAAATACTTAAGATATTTAATTTTACTTGAAAGGAACATTCTTTTATTTTTCTTTATATTAATTACTTTATTCACAATATAGTTGAAAAGTTTGCCTGAGCCGGAAAAAGAATCGACTAAAAATTCCAAAATAAATACTCACTATGTTATTGTACTAATCCACAGGATCAATAATAAGGATAAAATCTCTCCAATAGACGTTGAGTCGTACAATTAAAGATGTTCATTAAATATATTTAGGGAATAACAACTGTAATATTATTAACATTACCTTAACTGCTTATTTTTAAGAAGTAGAAAACGCGACCATAATTTCTTAATTAAACCTTCTACCGGACAAGAGACGAAACATCGCATTTTATCAGGCCTATATTCCTTCGCATAATACCAGAATATCCACTATTTACCTTAATAATAACTTCAATATCTGGATAAATACAAACGAGACAATTAGATGGCCTGCCATTTCTCCAGCCCTTAAGCCTCTGGTTATTTTCTATGGTGCCATGTAAAAAATGTTACGTACAAAAGGTTTTATGACACTGTAGACTTAAGGCTTAACGTACAAAACGTTATTATTAGCAACCACCACAAACAACACTTTGCAGAAGGCTACACGTAGTGAAAACTGGAAAGACTAATCTTTGTATGGACGAAAATGGATCCCGCTTCGAGCACATGAAAATTATAATTCTGTATTTTAGGGGGCTCATAACTGTAATGATATTTAATATTAGTTGCGAAAAAGTTTTATTAATTTATTTGTCAAACAAATACATTTTATTCCAAATTTTCTTGTGCAATACCTAAACCGAATACCTAACAAATGCTCAGACTGTGTTTTGATTCTGGCTACTCATGTATGTACACATAAATATCCATAGTCAGTAAGGACTATATGTAAAGGGGGTATAAAATATGTAATGTATAAGTTTTAATCATTTTTGTGACATCAATGAATTCGTTGATTGAGGTTCCCTACCCAATTCCTTTTTTTTTTTGCAAGGATTTTTTTTATAACATCAAATGACGGGACGAACAAGTCGTACGCCTGATGGTAACCTACACGTCTGTCCATAAAAATTGCAGTGCCACTCAGAGCTTTAAATCGCAAAGCTGTGAGGGGCACTGCCGCTGCGCCCGACACCCAGAGACATAAGTTGACAAGTCCCATGTGCCTGTAATTTCACTAATACCTTTACCACAGTAATGCTCCCATTACTGCTTGGCGGCAGAAATAGTTAAGGAGTCAGTACTTCCCTGGACGAACTCTTTCACAGCAGGAGCTCTACTGCTTGTTCGCGGGCAAGCTTCATTTAAGTTTTTTGGCTCGCCTCTAAATTTTTGTCTAAAGTGCTTCTTACTAAGTCCTGCTCTGGGGCAGCCGAAGTGTGGTGATCCCTTCAACTACAATTAAAAGATCTCGGTGTCATAGGTCAGCGACCGCGAACTAACACATTAATTGCTAAACTGCTTTATGTTAAGTGAACAAGATAATTCTAATTAAAGTTAAGAGTTAAATTACCCGGTAAATAACCCAATCGCTTTTGTTTATCTTATTCCTAAGCGTCATTTTCATGGCCATAAACACTCGTAGGTCGTTCCAAGTTGTCCGCACTTATCTCTATTCTAAGACCTAACGAATTCGCGTTCGAGTACCGGCTTTATATAGATAATAACAAACATTCAAAATGCGTCGGAATTTTCCCAAACACGTGGTAGTTCGGTATATTAAAAAAACCGGAATACGTATTTCTTGATTAACAGGCCTTCTGCAACATTATTTGACCTCGTTAACGGAGATCTTTTAAAAATATGATAGATCTTTTTTCTTAATGTACCTATGATGTTATCAGAAATGGAGGAAATTATTTAAGCAATATTCCAAAACGAAATTTGAAATAGTCTTAGTAGTTTAAAATTCCGTTGCGCGCTAGTTCCGCATTGCGCTAGGAACCCATTTAGTTTTGTCATGTTTGTCTGTCTCCTTCTTTCCGTCCGACCGTCATTTGTACGTTATATATAGCGTTTTCACTCTCTCATTCTTGTTGATGCATACCGTCATGAAATTTGTCTAGAAAACTATACATGCATATATCGCACACAGATTTTCCGGATTTTAGAGAGAGGTATTATGTACTTTATGACAGAGAGGTATTATTCACACATCGGCACACATAGCGGAACTCTCTTAAAATCCCCAAAATTAGGGAGTGTTTTTTCAAAGTCAGCCAGACGTTTTACTTTTTAAATTAATTTCTTTTAATTCATTGTTTAAATTTCGATTTTAATTATAGTCGTTTAAGGTTAATTTCGCGTTCTTGCAAATTTCTTAAACTTTAGATTTTGCCAATCTTAAACTGTTACAATTTTTCAATTTTGCAGCCGTTTCTGCTTAGTCACAAAATTGAAAAAAGAAAACCATTTTGTTTAATTTGATTTTTTCAATAAACATTGTAATTAAGTCGATGTTAAATGATGTTAATTTTATTTCTGCTTTATGTCTAATTCTTATTTATTTAAATATAAACGTTACTATTTTATATTCTGATTTTTTTGTTCCGCTGTAATAAATGTGCTGGTGTGTATATTCAGGTACTTCCTTGACGTTTAGGCAAATATACTCTGCCTGTTCCGATCTCTGTTTGTCACCATTACCGAATATTTAACACATACGGAACCCAACCACAGGTGTGTCCAACACGCCCTCCACCGCTTTCGCAAGACGTTAATCGTCTAATTATAAATAACGAATTCCTTGCCGGCTACGAGTTAACAAACTTATCTACAAAAAGTGAAATTAAAGACGGAACACATTCGATTCGAGTTATTGACTAGGGCGGCGTTGAGGTCATTGAACCGGCGTGTATCGCGCGATATCGTGGCTCCTTCTGTTTGACTATATTGCTTTATGTCCCTTAATTCATGCCTATCACGACTTTACATTTCCAATGTCATTCGAATTTCGTTTATTGGTTTTAAACGTGGTAAGTACAAAACTTGATGGCGATGTTTACGTAAGGCTGTTTTACGTTATTTCGTCTATATTGCTGACGCTGATGCTCTGCAATGCCCAACAGGAACATGCCAAAATTAATAATCAGGGGTTGCTTTGCGTAATCCGTAAATAATAAAACAACTAATCCAGTGAAGACTATCGTGCAAAATAGCTGCGCTTGTGTAGAATATTTTTTTAATACGGTTAGGTTTTCTACTCTCCCTTTTCTTAAAAAAATAAAATATTTAACACTAGTGGGACAGCAGTGTTTCGCCTCTCTACGAGACATCCTTAAAAGTTGTTGATTCTTCGACGCTCGGCCGGAGAATAAAAAAATGGCAAAATTTTGTCGTGCCCATAGTGTTACGCAACACGCGCCTGTCCATAACAGTTGCAGTGCCACTCAGAGCTTTAAACCGCTTAAATCTCAAGGGCATTGCCACTGAGCCCGTCACCCAGAGACATAAGTTGACAAGTCCCATGTACCTGTAATTTCACCAGCGCCCTTAGGTACCCTTCAAAACCGGAATGCAGTAATGCTCACATTACTGCTTCTCAGCAGAAATAGGTAAGGTGGCAGTTAAGGACTTCACTGGACGAACTCTTTCACAAGGTGCTCTACTATTACTGATTGTCGAGCCGTCTTCTCAATTTAATACACATTATATATAAATATTCTTACAAATAAGTAGATTTAGAGTAAATATGGGATTTCGAATGGATCTCAATCAAAATTAAACCTTCCGCTTTTGTGTTAGAGTTCGGATGTATTCCTGCAAGTCCGTCGTTTACACTTCACACGGTTATTAGATATGGCTTTGCTATCCTGTGGCTTATTACAGACCTACGCTTCAGTGCGCCTAGGATACAAACGTATCCTATGACGTAGATACGTCGATGCAACCACGTACTCCGTTACAATGACCTTGTGTATTTGACCTTCCTTTTATGTGAATTACTTGTATTTTAATATTGTGAAATGGTATTGAAATGCACGAAGCTTATTTTCGTACTCTCGTAGCATCTTATAATTATATATTTTCGTAGCAGTACAGTTCGTCCAGGGAAGTATTGCCCCCTTACTTATTTCTGCCGCCAAGTAGTAACGTGAGCAGTACTGTGTTCCGGTTTTGAAGGGTAAGGGTGCTGGTGCAATTACAGGCACATGGGACATGTCAACTTATGTCTCAGGTTGGCGGGTGCAGTGGCACTGCAACTGCTATGGACAGGCGTGTCGCTTACCATCAGGCGTACGACTTGTTCGTCCCATGTCTGAGTATCATAAAAATTGTGTTGTGCCTCCTCTACTCGCATCAGTCTGTCCATACTTATGTAATCCTGTATTCTTGGTACTTTCAACCTGTTCTTTTTTAAGGACATCCTCAATCTGATCGAGACGAGTACATCGAGGCGTACCTGTCCCCACGTTGTGAACTTGTGACAACTACTAACTGTAAATTTGTTGTTAATCTACTAACATCCAAATAGTAAATAATACGTCTGAGATATGTGTTATCCATTATCTCACACATTTCATAATTTTTACGAAAAGTGATCGGCCACGTGCCGCGTGCAAACGCTTCACTCAATAAGAAAATACATTTTTTATTATCTGTTTTATTGACAGTCATGAATAGTCGCAATGTTTGACCACCATGAAATTCAATTATTTTTGTGAAATTACTCCACTAGTTTGTTATAATTATTAATACAAAGTTCGAACACTCAGAAAAAATTCCTTCGACCCGTGTTGTCGGATCTTTGTATCTGGTTTTTAACGACTTTATACATTTTCTATATTCAAAAAGTTAAATTACGTCAAATGTAGTGTAAAAATATGGAACACGTCTTAGGTTTCATATCCACACATCTTTGCGAGTCGTAATAGATAATCAGTGGCCTGCAATTTGGCATATAATAGGTTATCTGCAAGTGCAAACATATATTCTAGCTGATGGCAGCGTCGACGATGATCCCGCCGATCGGATCCCATTAATGCAATTGCCTGCGAACTCGAGGTGATATCAATGAAGTCGTCCGGTTACAGTAGGTACCTTTAACAGAAAGATATCACTGATGCGTTAGTAATAACTTTGCTTGATTATCAATATACATAATTCCATATTGTTGCCGGTTATGGATAGAACCACGGTTAAAGCATACTAAGCGGAGAGACTGACGCTGAGATTTATCAAAAGAAAGATTTCGACTAAGCAAAAATCGGGAGCTAAGCAAGTTTTTCGTATCCACAAAACGAACGTTGCTTAAATTTTTTTTATTTAATTTTTTATTTCTCGATATGATCATCGTTCTAATATGTACTATTGAATAAAGTTTATTAGAGTTTTGAATGAAAAATTCGGGGCACTCGTATAGGGAGGTTAAAGATGAAACTTAAAAGATTAATAATAATAAGTTCTAATTGATAACAACATTATATTTGATGAATTGTATACACTTATTTGTAAGAAAGGTCTGGCGAACTTACCTACTGGTTGACCAAAACGCCCTGCAAGATATTGGATAACAATGTTGAGTATACAATAATAATAATTACAATTATAAAAGGTAAAAACACAAAATAGTAGTAACAACAAATTGTCAAGCTAAAAAGTACTTCAATGACTTGAATGAGTTGCGACCAATTGTCCGCGAACACATCAGCAACCCGGTCAAGTGCAAGGAACTCGTTCAGTAAGATAAGCGCCGTAGTGATCGGTGCGTTGAAACCCTGTAAAGTACGCGTTTATTCTGATTATAAAATTGTCTTGATTGTACTACGTCCTTTTCACGGGCCATTGACCATTCTAGCACGATTTTGTTATTTTTTCCTTGACAGTCTGCACTCAGGTGACCATACACATATAAGCTACGTACCTACTATGAGTTGAAGGATATATCGTGGTCCAGAAACTTACGGTTATTGCCCTACTTCTCCGTAACTACGCAGCACGTCGGCTTCTTTGAACCTCTTAACTCCGTTAACATAATAGCGTTGAACTTATTCGAGAACCGATGTCATTTTCAGATAGTTATGGATTTCTGAGTTGCGAGCGAATCAGGGTGCAGCAGCATGGTGTTACCATGAGGGTTGAAGATGACTACTACTTTTCTATATACTCATAAGGATCTAGAAAGTGGCAACAGAATTCATCCACATGCCAATGTCATCAGGGTTTTAAACATTAAAAAATGACTTCAATCCGAATTTTAGGTGCAGCGTAAATATGGTGACTAATTCAACTAATCGACTATGGAAACGCTGTACCCTTTCGTAACATACTGACTATATAAAACTACGATAACATCTTTAAATGTTAGAAATGAGGAACTGTTTTGATGTTGTCCTCCAAACCAGGGTCTGTCGTGCTGCCGCCAACTGAGCTCCGTGTTGATCTGGTTGTTCGGCGAGCTGGGTGCTGTTGAGTCTCCTCCGGCCAACGCCAAGGAACATTCGCCGACCACCATCCTCAAGTCCAAAACTAAGACTCCCATACATCAACTTTTTTCACGCAAGTAAGTATTGCTAAACTTAACTAAAACTTGGCAGAAGGCTGGGCACATTGCTCGCAGAACAGATGGTCGGGAGCGCCAACGAGTTCTCGAATGGCAACCGCATATTGGAAGATGCAGCATGGGCAGACCATTCACCGTTGCGGGAATTCGTTGGATACGAGCTGTGCAAGACCGGGCATTGTGACAATCTTTAGGAGAAGCCGATATCTAGGTGTAAACGTCTTTCAGCTGAAATTGTGATAATGATGATAAAGTGGAGAAAAGACGCCCAACGGGCCATCACAGGTGCTGCTGGAGAACAACGTTAATAAACCTCTAAGCATCCACCAAAAATTGCAATTTTGAAATCGTCAGTATGACCGAAACGCAACATTTATTACGAATGATTAGTTTCTATCACAAAAATATTAAATATACATGTGAAGAACAATCTCGCTAATGTAATTTGATCACTGTCTGTATTTTTGCCAAACGTAGTAGAGATAAGTGTATTGTTTAGCCAGCACCCACACACGCATAAACACATTACTTTGTTAGTATTACTAACCAAAGCAATTGACAACGTTTCAAATTGATAATGGTATCAAAATTAAGAAACCATTTAGAGATTTGCTTGTCCTGATCACGAATTTTCTTTTTTCAGAATTTATTATTCTCTAAATTACGTGATATTTACTAAAGTATCCAAAAAAACGGCAAAGGATTTCAAACACTATATTCCTTTGCTATATGTTTTCTTTTATTACTTGATTTTTGAACGTGCATACGATAACGGCTGACTGTTAAGAGTTGTGACAGTGAGAATGAGACGTTACGTTTGAAATAATTATTGATTACAAGTTTTAAGTAATTTTCGAAAGCTTTCTCCTGGTTTTCCTTTCATGGTTTACATCAACCGAAATGAATGAAGACTTAGGACGACTAAGTTTTAATCAAAAAAACTATACTGAATAATTGAGTTTCTTGAAAAAAAGTGTTGTGCTTGTTCATTACATATTTTATTAACACTATTTAAAATATGAAATAACGATACATTCGAAAAAATTGGTGATATTTTTCAAATATCAAAAGTTACATTATGGCGCATACATAACCGAATTTTACCCATTCTCCAGGCATTTTTCAATCAATTTATCTTCTGGCCACAAGTAACTGATGTGAAAAAACTTTACCATTGGTGTTTAGAACAAACGTTGCTTATGCTGAAGTTCAATCAATTATTGACTGTTTTGAAATAGAAATCGAAAAACCTAAGAAGCCAACAGAACAATCCTTGACTTGGTCTCAATATAAAAATTGCAACACTATTAAATATCTTATAAGTTCAACTCCTGATGGCTTTATAAATTTCGTATCCGAAGGTTATGGTGGTCGCATATCGGACATCAACTGAGTGGCGCAAAGTGGGTTTTTAGAAACGGTGCCGTCTTAGCCGATAGGGGTTTCAAACATTTAGAATCTCACCTAGACAATGAAAATGTAAAAATTTTACGTCTCCCAAGTGTGACCAAAGACTGCAAAATAACAAAAGCAGAAGCTGTAGAAAGCAAAATAATTGCGAGTTTAAGAGTACATATAGAAAGGGTGATATAGTAGCTTGTGGTCTACCCACTTGTTACTAGCTCACTTTTAAAGGAACACCTCAAGAAAAAAAGTCTAGCGTTGATTGAGGTAGGTTAAAAAATATTTTTAGTGTTGACCGTTAAGTCAGGAGTTAGCCATTTGACTAATTGTTATTTGACCAGTATTTGTGAAATATTGTATTGTGTACTATTGTTGCAGAATTGAGATAAAAAAAACAGGATGGCTAATAAAAGGTAAGTTATTGATATTTTTATTGCATGTGTTTGATGATTAACATTATCATATTCTACGACAATTTTAACAGCTTTTTATATTATAACAATAAATAAAACTGATTTTTTTTGTGTCAAAGTTGGTGTTCCTTATATCAAACAATAGTAATATAGGCTACTATTACATTATGTTTGTACAAAGTATTCTTATTTTCAGATTACGTCTAAGGGACTTTACATGAAATTATTGAGGAGCTGGAAAATAACGAAAACGGTTAGGACGTACCATCTCAAATCACAATGTTGCCTCCAGAGAACGACCAAACGACAGTGACGATGACATGTGTCTAGCCCAGAAATACTTAGCAGTAGAGCTCCTTGTGAAAGAGTTCGTCCAGGGAAGTACTGCCACCTTGCCTATTTCTGCCGCCAAGCAGTAATGTGAGCATTGATGCCTTTCGATTTTGACGGGTTCCTGTTTTCGTTTGCTGGTGAAATTACAGGGACATGGGACTTTTCATCTTAAACCTGGGTGTGGGGCGCAGTGGCAGTGCACCATAGACGGCACTGCAATTGTTATGGACAGGCGTGTCACTTACCTGCACGTGTACATCACAGTACATTTACTCAAATATTTTATATGCCCGTAAAAATATACATAATTTCAATAAGAAAGAAGATATCCATAACATTAACCTTAGAGCTAAGTCCAAACTCATGGTACCACGATTTCGCTTAATCAAGGTAAACAACTCTTTTATGGGGAACTGTATACGTTTTTACAATAAGATTC